GGAGTTCATTTTGTGTTGGCCAAACTACTCCTGAGCATGAAGACTGCCCTGGAATATGGTTGATATTCATATTCAGTGTCACTTGAAGAAAACTGATTTATTCCTCTCCCAGCAATTATCATTTTTAAGTAGCTTTTTAGCTAGGGGTCAGACTTGGTACCTGCTTCCTCTCCTTTGTGCTGAGTTTTTTGTTTGGCTTCAGTCTGAGCAGGTCTTGAGTGTGCTGTCAGTCTCTGTGAGTTCTTCATATGTGTGTCTGCACATCTGGAAAATGCTGTTTAATAGTCCACCACCTCTGGCTCTTATAACCTTTCCACCCTATCTTCTGCATAGATCCCTAAGCATTGCAGCCCCTCAATTTGTTATAGCTCCCCAAAAGATGGTTAAAATTTCAGAAAGTAAGAATGGATCTATTTCCATTATATCAGCCTTTGGAAGATCCTATAAGCCTTTACTTACTTGAGGGGCAGTACCTGTCAAAATAAACTGAAACTCTTACTTTAAAAGATATTGAAATAGACTTGTTCTTATGTATATATACTGGCCCTTGACCCCAGGTCCTTGACTATGCTAAACAGTGTTCTACCACTAAGCTACACTCATGTTCTATTTTAAGAAGGTCAGTGGGCCAATGAGAATAAAAGCAGGTTAACTATTAGCCAATTCTGAACTGGCTCCTTGATTAAGGAATTCCTTAAGGCACTCACAGTTGGACATGCTCTTTCCCTAGGAGAGTGAACTTCTGTGAAATGGCTCTTGGATCCACGAGTGGGATTCCAGTGTTACAGCAATCATTAGTTATGCTCAAATCACATTGTTGCTCCAAGCAGCTTAGGGAACACATCAGCTGTCACTGTATAGCCATTCAGTTTGGCTCCTACATATCCAGAACATGTATCTTGGAAATCAGTGAAGCTGAATGTACTTAGGAGGCATTGTTTCCCAGTGATCTCCTCACCTTCCGATAGCCTTGAGAACAAACGAGCAGCGTTGCTAACGACAGAGCCCTGTGACTGCACTACAGAGCCTGTAGTCATTAAGGTCCTTAAGAGAAAGCACAATCCCCAGCAGTGTACACACAGGTGCTGTCACTCAGGTTCAAGGGAAAGGCAACACCTGACAGTACCAAGTGCCTGCTAGATACCAGGTGACGCTGCTCCCCTGAGAGTGAGAAGGAAATGGGGAAGGAAACATCTGGCCAATGGCATGAGTGACTGTGACGTGAAGGGCACAAGGAGAGGGACAGTATGGAAAGGAAAGTGATAGCAACAAAAAAGAGGGAAAATAAGTGTATTTTAATGAAATATCTGGGAGTCATCCTTTGGGTACCAGTTCTTATGTATTTATAGACAGGTCCTTGCTCTAAAGCCTAGGCTGGTCTCAAACTCCACGGCAATCCTCCTGCCTCAGCCTTCAGAGTTCTGGGATTACAGCTGTGAGCCTGGCTTGTGATAATTTTTTTTTGCCAACTTTTAAAAACATAGCATATAGTGTTTTTATTAAAGTTAGCCTGCAAAATAATGGGTTTCATTATGGCATTTTTATACAAAACTTTTTTTCTTTTGATCTTCAATCCCATCTCTCTCCTTACCCTCCTGTAGCATCCTCCATACTCCCCAGAAAGCTCTCATCTTCATGTCCCACGTAGTCCATCATACTTTTCCCTTCCCCTCGTGAGATATTTTCTTTCTCTCTCATGGGCACCTTTCTAGTTTCATGCCCTCCTCCCCCATATACATACACACATACAAAAATTAAAGTCTAGGATTTGTGTGTGAGAGAAAAATGTGGAACTTGTCTTTTTTGACTTTCTGAGTCTGATCTCTTAAAGTTAAACACCTGTGAGCTCAGGATGCATGCAGCCCAGCAGAGGAACACTTGCCTAGCACACGAGACTCTAGGTTCAATCCCCAGTGTACATAGGTGCACTTGAGCAGTACACACACACACACACACACACACACACAGGGTTGGTCAATAGCAAACAGAATTTCATATGAAATGTTAGGTACAGCTATTTCTTTTTAAACAGTTCATTGAATTCAGCCCTGAATACATCAAATAGTGTATGCCCTTTTTAAAAAAATAAAAATGTACATATTGCAAATTCCTCCTCCTCCTCCTCCTTCTTCTCTCTCTCTCTCTCTCTCTCTCTCTCTCTCTCTCTCTCTCTCTCTCTCTCTTTTTCGAGATAGGGTTTCTCTGTGTAGCCTTGGCTGTCCTAGAACTTGTTCTGTAGGCAGGCCTCAAACTCAGAGATCCTCCTGTCTCTGTCTCCAGAGTGCTGGGATTAAAGGCCTGAACCACCGTCTCTCAGCGCTCCTCCTCTCTATTCCTTATAACTGAGATAACCCAAGCTACTTTACACTTTCCCAGAAGCCTTTTAAAATATGCTTTCCACAAAGGAAAGGACAAGCTGTCCAGTTGGCTTCGGTTTCCCTGCTAACAGCAGCTAGGATTATTCGAGGCAGGTAGGGATGGACGTAGAAGAGGGAGAGGCTCTGGCAAGCAAACGTCCTGATCAGATATTAAGATGTTCTTTCAAAGGAGTGGTGTGTGTGCGTGTCAATAACGACAAGCCATAATTACTTCCTATTCACAGGGCGGGCACTGGAGCGCAGCGTTGCTGACTCACCCGGCTGCTCACGGTTTATTTCTGATGGGTTTCCCTGCTGCCTGCTACACGTGCGTCATGGCCAGAATGAAAGTTTCTCTCCGTCTCCCTTAACAACAGTGCACACACTAGGCATGGACAGTGAACTTCCAAATATCCAGCAATAACCAGACCCCAGGCAGGGAAGGGGAAAAGATTGTTGTGGGGAGATGTCACAACCTGCCAGGCCTCCAGATGACAGTCATCTGCCCTACGGTGTGAGTCACTGGCACCCCAGTTTCAGTGTCCTCTCTCTCTCTTTCTCTCTCACCCACTCATGTAGTTAAAGTGGCATCTTGTAACACAACCATGTTGCTGTTACCAAGGTGGTTCTCGACCAGCTATGCAGTGGAATCACCTGGAAGTTTTGTTTAATGCCAATAACGCTAAATGGTTTAGGATGGGATGTAGCTACCAGGAATCCCTAAATCTCCCTCCACAGGTGATTCCACGACGAAGCCAAGTTTGGTAATCAGAGCTCACGCGCAAAGGAAGCTTTCCAAAGACCACCCTATTTCAGAGATCAACGGTACAAGACACTTTCCCAGTTGATGTGTTAGCTTCGGAGACAAAGTGACAGCAAAGCCGGGTGTTACAGAGGGACGAGGGACGCTGCCTGGGCGAGCACTTCCCCACCACCGCTACCTCTTTGCCTGGTATCCAAGAAAAGCACCCCGCATTACCTTTCTGATTACCCTTTGATCTCTGATCTGTTTCATCCTAGCGTCCCGTTCCGGCAAGTGGCACCGCCGAGGTCCTCTCAGATTAGAAGCACGTCCTGCTCAGACCTCATTCAAGACTGGACTTCTCTTGTACCTAAGCTAGGGCAGTGCCTCCGCCTTGCACCGCGGCCCCGGGGCAGATACTTATGCTAATCAAGAAAGTTCTTGCGACTCCTTTACTCCCTGCGCGCAGGCACGCGCGGGTGTGGGTATTTACTTAACCCTTGATTTTTGCAACGACCCCTCTACAGTGCTTGTGGCAGTCATCTTGTTGCCTAGTGGGTCTGGATCACTTTATTTATTTTTTCCAAAAAGGGATTGGACATGAGGAAGTAGTGAATACCTGCTGGGAGTGAGCGGGTGGAAGTGGGGACAGCTGGGGCGTCTGGAGCTGAGGTGAAGGGACAGTTAACGTTAGGAATATTAATTATTCAGCGCGCCACTGGCCCAACGAGGACTAGCAGAAGGGGACTGGAGGTTAAGACAAAGGCTCCTGGTCCAATGGCCGCAGCTCCATTCCTCCGAGGCTGCAGCTGCGTCTTTGACACTGGCTTGGCAAAGTGACTCAAGGGGTGACCAGACCCTCTTGCTCTTTCTGGTCGGAAGTCTGCTTTGCCTTAAGGCTCAGATTTAGAGAGGAGGGTCTTTTTTTAACCCGCCCCGCTTTCTGAGCCTTTGTGGCCTCACTTTTGGCCCCGGCGCAGCACTTAGTAGGGTAGACTGAAGAATGCCCCTCCAAATCAGAGTGGTGGTCTCCGAGTAGCCCTCTCTCTCTCTGCGGGTGTTCCCTGCCGAACCCCTCAGGACCAGACTAGCAATCCACTTTCCTTGCCACACACCCGGCCCCCAAGTCCCGGATCCAGGAGAGATCGGTCCCAGCCGCGTGACCAGTGTCCCCAGACAGGACGCACCGGGGGCGGCAGCAGAGCTTGGGGATCCGGGGATGCACTCCAGACTGTGGGCGCGCGCGGCACACTTCTTGGTTTGCCCCAAAGTGCGCAGCTTCTAGGAGCTCCGGGGGCTCTCAGCCCCCGCGTCCCGGTCCTCCAGCAGGAGGGGCCGAGCTCCGAGGGCGCGCACCCACAAGTCCCCCTCTCCTAGGTGGCCTCAGTCTTCACTCTCCGGCCAGTGCACTTTGTGTCTGCCAGCGTGGCAGCTCTGACTCCCTTCCTCTTCTTGGGGTCTACTGCTCTAGCCCCCCACCCGAAGAGAGGGGTGACCCGTAAGAGCGCGGCTGCGTGCACACCCCGGGCTGGATAACTTCTTGATGGGCTGGGAGACCCCGGGATCCGCTTGCTCCGCGATCTGCAGCCAGCAGACCCGGGCGGGGGTGGGGGAGGCGCGGCCAACGCGGGGCCTGGGAGGGACCCACCCAGGGCAAAGGGTGTCGGGGTGCGCCAGGGTTGTACAGCTTTGAACGTACTTGACTCACCTGCTCCGGCGTTGTCGCCTCCTTCCTCTGCTGACAGCTGGGGGCTTTGTTTTCTCCACCCCCTCAGCCCGCCACGCTCCGCCTCCACAGGCTCACGTGACTCGCCGTCTGCCACCATCAGCGTCCACTCCGGAGAGCCCCCCCCCCCCCCCCCCCGGGCGTCCGCCTCTTCTCCGGGTGCGGGGTGCAGGTGGAGACCCCAGCTGTGGAGGGGACCCCCAGGTTCGAGGTGATTCTCAGGGGAACTCTGGGTCAGACCGGCTGAACTGGTGACCGAGGGAAAAGTGTGGGGGGTTGGGGGGAAAAGGGAGAGAGCCGATGGCTGCAGCTAGCCGAGAGGATCCAAAGGCGAAGTCCCACCCTGAATGAGGTACCTGCACCTAGGGTCTGCACTCACTCCTAGGGCCTGCTGGATAATGAGGGGGCAAACTTATTGCTTCATGAATATTAATTAAAAGAAGCACCTCTTTGCCGGATGGCGCGATTAATGATTTAGTAACTGTGAAGCACCGAGGTTCCAAATGTATCCTTTCGATTCTGTTGATGTTTGGGTTCAAGCTGGAAAATAGGTTCCGGACTGGGGAAACTCACTCCGGAAGATGATTTGATGTGGGCACTTGTCCATCCGGAACAGCAGTTGTTTTTAATGAAACGAACTAAGAAAATGTTCGGGCCTCAAGACCAGGCTCAGTATCTGCTGCTCTTGGAAGTGGTCCCGACCACTGCTGTTCACAATACTCTCCAGTGTCTGAATCTGAAACAAATTGTTGTGGGACTCCATCCTTTGGTCCCCAGAGAGAAGGGTCAGCCTCATCCTGAGGACCCCACCCTTCCCTGCTAACTAAGGGGAAGAATGTGTCTCCTCCAGTGTTCATTAAAAAATCCTTGTAGGGGTTGACTTAGCACAGCACTCACGCAGTTTCTCGTGCAGACGGATCCCCTGGGAACCTTGTTAGAACCCAATTCGGATGTGAGTAGATCCAGCCTTGAGCTCAGATTCTGTGTGCCTAGTGAACTCCTAAGTGATGTAAGTGCTAGTTTGAGCACAAGGCTTAGAGCACACTTTGACACCAGCTAGCCCTTGTTGTGTTCTGGCTGCCCGACTCTGGCTGTAAGATGGGACTGGTATTAATTATTCTCCAGGTTGCTATGAGAAAAGGCCAGCAAACGCAGCTCGAGGGAGGAGGGGTCAGTTTTCCATCATGGCAGGGAAGAAATGGCTGCAGGAGTGTGAGGCAGCTGGTGAGACAGTGGAGAGCAAGGGATGGGCTTGCTGTCTCCTTTGTATTCACTCTGAAACCACAGCCTATGGGATGGTGCTACCCACATTTAGGGTGGCTCTTCCTACCCGGGTTAATCCGGTCTCAGAGATTTGTCTCCTAGGTGACTCTAGACCCCGCCAATTTGATGATGTTAACCACCCCAGCATAAATACCCAGCTCACTGCAGGCCCCCGCCCCGGGAGGACAAACCAGGACGTAGGTAGTGCCCGACACACCAATGTTTAGGAAGTGTGAGCTAATTAACTGCTGGGGTCATCATAGCAGATGTGACACTCAGCTTGCTTGCAGGAGTCTGGTGTAAATGGTGTAGGGATAAGGTAGTCACCCCACAAACAATGGTCATTCCCACAGTACACCAGACAAGCAGGTGTTTGTGTCATGAATCAAAATTGGCCACAGTGCAGAGCAAATCCTATTTGTTCAAAAAGTTCATTTTCTACTTTAAATTGTGACGAATTGGTTCTCAGACACTGAATTAAAAAATCATTTTGCTTTTTATTACAGATAATGCCAAGCTGCCTGTTGGATGGGTAATCTATTTTAATATGGAGTGAGTAAATGGATTGTTAAGGAGCTGTACATTTCCCCTCCTCATTAAAAAACTTGAAATTTAAATATAAATGGCTTTATTAATGAAGATCTGATATTCTTAGCTGTCAGGATGAATGGGGATGTCATCGTACTTCCCATTCCCTGCTTGCCCTGCTCCCTCTGTGCCCCAAATATAGGTATTTCTAAGATTAATTCTTCCCCTCTCTACCAACTGCCTCACAAATTCAATTTATGTTTTAGTTCAGTTTTTGAGTGTGTGGAGATTACTTCTGAATCCATACCTACATCCTTCACTTCTTCCCAAGTCCCTGTCTACAGAGTGAGCTCCAGGACAGCCAGGACTACACAGAGAAACTGTGTCTCAGAAAAAAGAAAAGGGGGGGGGGAGTTAGTTGTAGTTTTAGCATTCAAGTCTTTAGGTTCTTTTAGTCTGTGATTATAAAATTAACTTTGGCGGTGGTCCTGAGGTTTGAATCTGGGACTTCTTAGGTGTCAGGCAAGCACCCTGCTACTGTACCAACACTCAGACCATGCCTACCCATAATAACTTTGATTTAAACCTATGCTGATATTACTATGCTGTCTGCTGGGGGTAGGGATGGGGTGGTATTTTTGAGACAGGATCTCTCTGCCTAGCCCCAGCTGTCCTAGAACTCACTATGTAGACCAGGCCGGCCTCGAACTCACAGATCACACATATTTGCTGTGCATTTCCACTGAAACCCCCAGCAGCCTTTAGTGTGGTTTAAAACTTCTACCTCTCATAACATTGACACCTTCTCTGTGTTATATCAAGACGGCTGCCTGCATTGTACAACCTTCCACTAGTGATCTAGGGACCTGACGAGGGTGTGGATACACAGTGTGATTTATCTCAGCTACCTTACTGCTGTTCCTTGGTATTTCCTCTAGACTTTGTCTTCAACGATGACTGTCATCAACTCATATGTGAATGCGACTTACTGGTGTAAGAGCCACGTCAGCAGCCATGAGCTGTTGCCAAGAGGATGACAGTGTGAAGACAACTGGGGAGAGACCGTGTCCTTCAGGACAGGACAGACTATACTGCTGTAACAAATGCTACCAAAATCTCAGTGGTTGAATACACAAAAAGGCTCCCGGGAGGCTGTCCTTGATGCTTGTCTTTCCAACCTGCTTCATCCCTTTGACATCTCCCCGAGCACACAACAGGACAAGGAGCAGGAAGAATTGCACACCAAACCTGAGAACCTGAGTGCTTTCACTCACAAATGACCCAAGGCTTTCTCAATTGCATTGCTTAAGGGACGTTGTGCTAAGTTCAAACTTTAAGGAACTACATGCTCAAAGGGAACAGGAAGTAGTAAGTTTGTGATAGTGGATAATATGGCCCACAGTGATCCATTTAGAGGAAGTTAGGGATAAAATTAAACTAAAGCAGGTTAGCAGAAATCACAGTTGGGAGGCTGTAGCACTGTGTGGCGTTTGGGGCGGGGACCATTAATGTTGTGCTGTTTTAATACAATATGAATGAGAAAAACACTTGTCAGTCTACTCCAGCTCCCTCTACTCCAGCTCAGTCTACTCCAGCTCAGTCTACTCCAGCTCAGGCTACTCCAGCTCAGTCTACTCCAGGCCAGTGTACTCCAGGTCAGTCTACTCCAGCTCAGGCTACTCCAGCTCAGTCTACTCCAGCTCAGTCAACTCCAGCTCAGTCTACTCCAGCTCAGGCTACTCCAGCTCAGTCTACTCCAGGCCAGTGTACTCCAGGTCAGTCTACTCCAGGTCAGTCTACTCCAGCTCAGGCTACTCCAGCTCAGTCTACTCCAGGCTCTGGTTGTCCAGACTCATCTGTGACATATTGTCTTGGTTCTTCCCCAGGGATCATATCTACCTTAAATGTGTAAGACTACAATTTTCTTGACAATTATGATATATTTTTTTTTAAGTTTGGATGAATGTATGTGTGTAAAGAATGAAATCTTAAAACAACGACAACAACAACAACAAAATAGGGGAAAACCATTAGGATAAAATTATCCCAGGTCATCTGCATGATCATCTGAACTATGCCTTTGACAAAGAATTTTCTGGTCATGTTCACGAGAACATTGCATTATAGCCTTTCCAGGGAAAAATAAGCTCACAAATGAGAAAAATTTGCTGATAATAATGTGAGAAAAATAAAATGATTTTCAGAAAGTGTTGAGGTTTTGCTAAAGGGCTAAGATTGTATCAGCTAAATCTGCCACATATATCTTCCCTTACTTCATATATTTGTAAGGGATAAACATTAATGCCTGCTGTAAAATCTAGAATGCAATGCAGGTATAAGATATTATATGCTGCAGGGTACTGAGTCATGGTTTTGCTTTCAATCTTGTGTTGTCTCTGAACACATATATCAGTGACTACATTCTATAAAACTATTCCCCAGTAACTGCTTTTGTAAAACATGATCATTCCCTAAAATTCTGACAGCTTCTACTACACATTTGTACAAACATCCAACACATAGGACTTTAAAGTTATGAACGTTTTGCTCAGCCCCTTCTCTGTCTGACTGATCCCCGCCCCCTTGAGTCTTTGCTAAGTTGTCATATTGCCTTGGATACGATCTGTGACCTCAGGAGATATGCTACAGAGAACCACGTATAAATATATGGCTAACAGCACATAAGACTCAGATGAAAGTGCCCATTACCAAGCTCTGACAGTGTTTATTAAGATGGATAGTAAAAGTGCCATCAGATGACAGTGTGCTGGGATCACTGCCTGGTGCTGTCTACAGCACCTAGTCCCACCAACTCCAAAGTGTGTGTGGATTCCTAGGAGCAAATATTTTCGAGTTGGCTAACATGTGTCAGGCAGTCCAGTTTAAATGTCTCCCCAGTGTCTAGCTTTAGTGGTAGCCAACTCTGATGCCCCCATAAAGAAACCAAATAGAAGAGGAAATAGGCTCATTACACAATGTGCTTTGTTTGAAGTATAACGAAGGATCAAAAGTCATTCTGTGACAGAAGTGTTTATCATTTTATGACACACTGGAAATACAATCACATACAAAGAAGTAAGGTGGGTGTATAGTTCTTAATGCTGCTTAGAGAAGGTGGAGCCAAAGGCAACAGTTTTTCGTGTTTGATTTTCTCTCCTTCGCCGCCCCCATTGTGTTTCTCAGCTCTGGGATAGGCTTTGCACACGCCAGACAAGTGTGCAAAGCTCTATCATGAAACTCCAGCCCCACGCCTTTTCCTTTCGGCTGTGGTTTTGTTTTGAGATAGGGTCTTGCTCAGTCACTCAGTTTGGCCTTGAACTCAAAACCCTCCTCCACAGCCTCAGGAGCAGCAGGAATCCCAGACCATGATGGCCAGAACTGTCTTATCACAGTGCACATTGAAGACAGCGGTCCTGTTATTTCATTACTTTGTCTAGAGGATTTAGGCTTTATCAGTAAGTAGCATTGACATTGGCCCCAACTTGAGGTGGTGTGCAGATCCGCAGGGATCTATGTACCAAACTCAAGGAATTCTGAGGGGAGGGTTGGAATCGACAGCATCAAGGAGTGTCCTTAATTAATCTCTACTAATTCTTAAAGGAAGCTTCCACTTATCAGCTATTTACAAGTACTTAAATAGATTTATGTATTACATTATCTAGTTTGACACACTCAGCCTGTAAAAAATGGATAATTTAAAATGACTGAAGACAGCAGAAACAGTATGGACAGCAGTATATTCTCAGAAAAGCCCTTCATAACCTGTAAGTGCCTTTGAAAACAGAACAATTATATTTTATCCAATCATATCCTTCACTTGCATGTGTGACTCTCTGGAAGCACAGTTAGAGGCTCTCAGAGCCAACACCCTAAGCATCAAAATGGACTGCCATCACTCAGATTTATTAAGTGACCTTATCACAGCATAGCTTCCCCAAATTAGCTATGTGTGGTGAAGCTCACATGTCATCCCTGTACTCAGGAGCCCGAGGCTTGGGGATCGCAAGTTGGAGGCCCTGTAAATAATGAATTTGATGTCAGCCTTGACTGCTTAGGGATAGACTGTCTCAAACAAATAAATTTCCGCTGGGCAGTGGTGGCGCACACCTTTAATCCCAGCAATTGGGAGGCAGAGCCAGGTGGATCTCTGTGAGTTCGAGGTCAGCCTGGTCTACAGAGCAAGATCCAGGACAGGCATTGAAGCTACACAGAGAAACCCTGTCTTGAAAAAAACAAACAAAATAATTTCCAAGATTATGAAACCTATTTACTCCCATTGCTCTCACTAAACAATGTTTAAGTGATAGCAATTGATTTTAACCTCCCATCAATAAAGAGCACACAAAATAGAATTTACCTCATTTTCATTGCAGGGTTCCAATTTTACATTTTGTGATATTTTATGTGTATAATATATGACTACAATACCATGCATGCTTGTATTATTAACACAGAAGTATGAGATGCAAGTTGTATTTAGAGGAGTGTGTAGGCAAAAGGAAACTGAAACAATGTTGGAGAAAAGGCATCTGGGATCTGGCCCACTTTTAGGAGGATGGCTTCAACAACATGGAGTGAAGTCAGGAAGAACAGAATCTTAATGACGACCTGGCTTCAAACAGTGGCAGGATGGAGAGCCGAGGTGTGTGTGTGTGCGCGTGCGTGTGTGCGTGCGTGTATGCGTGCATGTATGCGTGCGTGTGGTTATTCACAGGTTTGCATCTTGCCGCCTTGCCGGTCTGAATGGACAGTGGAACTGGAGATGATGAAATGGGGTGTATGTCGAGCGGGATACAGAGCTCAGTTTGGGACATGTTAAATCAGAGGTGCCCAAGGGACCCCAGGAAGAAGTCTGGGGAGTGCTATAAATAAAAATCTGAAAGTCAGATCTTTTTCACAGTAACTTTAATTTATTGGTCTGCAGTCCTTTCTAAAATGACCTTAAAATATCTTTTCCAATGCCCTGGGAACTCCATCTCTTTGTGTGGACCGGGGTCCCCTATCCCTAATATCCGTATTTCTCCAGATTTATTCTTTGTCCTAGCACATCGTGCCCACAGGGGCTCCTCCTTACACCCCACCTCTACTTCTGGGGGACTCCACCACTTGTGCTGACACAGCTCAGGTCTTTTCTGCTGGTCCTTTTAGCCTTCTCCTCTAGTGCATGCCCATTCCTTTGAGTCACCTGGTCATCAGCAGAAACACTTTCTTTCAGGGACTCCCAGTGGCCACACTGGCTGGAATTCAGAGGATGTTCCTTATCATTCCTGTCCTCCGTTATACTCACTCTCAGTCCAGTAGCGGCCTGCTTGTAGGAGGCTCCCCTCCCACTCTACCTATATTTCCTGGCTCCCCTTTTGGTATGGACCCAGGGTCCCCCAGCCCTTTCATCCCTGTCTCTCCAGACTTATTCTTTGTCCTTCTGCAGCCTGCTTACAGGAGCCCCTCCTCCTACCCTGCCTCCATTCCCTGTGTTCTCTACCTTTTGGTGTGGACCCTATCCCACTGATACTTTTCTGAAGACTCTCCTAGTCTTTCCTCCTAGCCCGTCTCGGTTTCTTTCTGTAACTGGCTGACCTGTAGAAACACTCTCTACCTGGGACTCCACAGCCACCACACTTCTGCAGCAACTAAAGAGTGAAACACCCTCCCAACAAAGATAAGAAGAGAGATTGACACCAAGAAATACCTCAAACATCCTAACTACAAATGACTAGACCCCAGTGTCTTAACACAAACATGAGCAGCTGAGATGGTATGCCTCCACCAGAAACCAGAAACCCTATTGCAACAGGCCCTGAGAAACGCAACAGTGCTGGACAGTGCAGGGATTCAAAATAGCAATTATGAGTATGTTCAGGACCTTAAAGAGAATATGAATAAATCCCCTAATGAAGTTCATGAAAACACAAACAGTTGAGTGACGTAATGAAAACAATTCAAGACATGAAAGTAGAATGTTAACAAAAAAAATAGAATCACTAGAGAAAACCCAAACTGAAATAAAACTGGTAATGAGAAATTTAGAATGTCAAACAAAAATTTGAGAGGTTAGCCAATAGATTACAAGACACAGAAAAGAGACTCTCAGGCATTTAAAGACAAGGTAGAATAAATGGATACTTCAGTCAAATAAAATTTTAAATCTAAAAAAATCCAGGCACAAAGCATCCAGGGAATCTGGGACACTATGAAAACACCAAATCTACAAATAGTAGGGATAGAGGAAGAAGGAAAAATCCAGGTCAAAGGCACAGAAAATATTTTCAACAAAATCATAGAAGAAAATGTCTCCAACTTAAAGAAGGAGGTGCCTATCAAGGTATAAGAAGCATAAAGAAAACCAAATAGACTGGAGAAAAGAAGTTCCCCTCAGCACATAATAATCAAAACACTAAACATGCAGAACAAAGAAAGAATATGAGAAGCTGTAAGGGAGAAAGACCACGTAACATATAAAGGCAGACCGATTAGAATTACACTTGATTTCTCAGTGGAGACTCCAAGAGCCAGAAGGGCCTGGACGGATGTTCTGCAAACTCTGAGAAACCACAGATGTCAGCCCAGACTATTATATCAAGCAAAACTATGAGTTGTTGCGAGGTTAGTCCACTAGAGAACACTATGGACACTCTTAAAGCTGAATAGAAAGTCTATGATGCCAGCCGGCGGTTACATGGGGATCTTGTACCAATCACGCAGCCCAAGTCTCACCATTCTTTGTCTTTTATGTGCAAAACCCACATCCTGGTTGACACACTTCAGTTAGTCAGAACAGTTGGGAAGCAGAAAGACTCCCGAAGCCAAAGGCAAGGCTAATGCACGTAGGGGCTTTCCTGGATCCTGGATCTGCAGACCTGGTCTTTGATGGATCAAGTCTTCGTCTTAGTCAGTGTTCTACTGTTGTGAAGAGACACCAT